AGGGAATGGTTCCTTCTCCCCTCTGCCTCTGGCTTCCCACCATGTGGTGGGGGTTCATACTTCCTTGGTTATCTCTGGTGAGGCCTCCAGACACCTAACCACAGCCATGTGCAGAACATCCCCTGGGGCAGCCAGAAGGGTCTGCTCCCCACTCGGCCTAGGACCACCAGCACTGTCCTCTGTTCTGAGGCTGAAGGCCTCCGCCACCACCTAGCATGGCCTGGAGGCCCCGGCCCCATCTCCTGCCTCCACGGGGCTCTTCCTCACTCCCGCACACGCACCCCCTTTGGTCCATCCCTCCTGCTCGTTACCTTCCCTGCTGCTTCAGGGCTCCGTGCTCGGTGATCCTTCGGCCCCAGCGCCCTTCTTGCCCTGCTCACCTGGTGAACTCCTCCTTAGCCTTTAATCACCCCTCCGTTCCTAGGGCTGTTTGCCCAGGCCAGACCCCTCGGTTCTCCCCAGCACACCCTGCTGGACTCTACCGCCACTTGGTACTTGCCCCTGCAGACTGGTGTGCACCCTGCAGGCCCAGCCGAGTCTGTGTGCACCGTTGTCCCCCCGGGTGACACGGCCAGCGCAGGGGTGCTCAGGGGGGATGGATGAGTAAAGAGTCTAGGGCAAAGGCCGGTAAATATCTTAACGGTAAATATCTGGCCTTGTGGACCATAGGCTCTCTGTCACAATTATTCAACCCGCCATCATAGCCAGAAAGCAGCCATAGGCAATACGTAAACAAATGGGCATGACAATAAAACTTTATTATTTACAAAAATAGACAGCAGGCCAAGTGCACCAAGCCTCGGTCTAAAGAAACAACAGAGTACATTCAAAGCAAACAGGAATGTTTCTAAGGGTACTGTTTCCCATGACAAGAGCTATGGCTTCCTGGAAATTGCTGGTAACAGCAGCAGAAGGTGGTTCAGAAACGAGCCCCCAGGTGACCCTCTGACAGGTGTGACTTTGAAGATGAAATTTCTGAGTCTCCTGTTACTTTGTCCCATGAGGCCTCCCCATGGCTGGCAGGTGAAGGCCATGACCTTGAAAGAGGACAGTGCTGGGCAAGGGTGACAGTGTCCAGGTATGGGGTCTGAATTCTGCTTCCTGTCCCCATGGTTCAGGGCTTATTTAGTTGAGGCTGGTCTTGTGAAGGGCGCAGCACCCAGCAGTGACCAGGGCAAGTCCTGGGGGTGGGGGTGTACATGTGGGCCTCGGGGGTTACCTCGCCATAGCCCTCAGGCATGGCCGGAGCGAGTGGGGAGGAATAAGGCCTAATCTCACCTTATGTGTGCTTGATGGGGACAAAGTGAAGGTGCAGCTCCCAGTGCCTTAGCCCAAACCCTGGATCCAGGCTGCCATGGTCACGGTCTGATTTGTCATTTATAAGCTGTGTGACTCTAGGCAAGTTGCTTAATTCACTGTGCCTTGGCTTACTCATCTGAAAACTGGGGATGATAAGGCTCCTACCCTGAAGGATTGTCAAAGAGGGCGTGGCATGATCCTGAGCACCCCCATGAACTTTGGCTGCCGAGAGCAGTGTGTGTCAGCAGTCATCAGGATGAGCCCCCAGGGCCTGTCCTGGGTCCTTCCATCAGTCTCCCCTGGAGTCTGGGCTCCACATCTCAATTACAGAGGGGACTCCAGAGTCAGCTGCCCGGATGGCACAAGGGCCGGGGAGAGGGAATGAGTTGCCTGGTTTCTCCAAGGTCAACAGACAGGAGGGACCTTTCTGGAGGTGTTTGGACCCCATCCTGCAGGAGTCCTGGGAGATGGGAGATGGCCCAGACAGGTCTGCCCAGCAGCCAGAACGCTGGCCTCCTCAGCCCTTTCTCCATGTTTCTTTTGCCCTGCCGAGAAGGCAGAGGTCCATAAACGCCCAGGTCAAGCACGGCTGCTTCCCTCATTGCCATCTGCCACCAGACCCAGCCTGTAGCTGCTCGGGGACTTTCTCTTGCCCCCTGCTCCTCTGGACAGAGAAAGGTGAGGGGCCGTGAGGGCCCAGGGGCTGCTTGCTAGGCCGGCTGTCATTTGCCTGGAGCGAAAGGAGGGTGAGAAGGCTGGCTGGGAGTGGGGGGTTGTGAGGAAGACTGTGGAGCTGTTTGTCCCAGTAGTACTCCTCCCCCAGGTCCGGGGCAGGCGTGCCTTGTCTGCAGACACTGTGTGGCAGGACCCAGCGCACAGGGCAGCGAGAGCAACATGCTTGGCATGGCCCTGCGCAGCAGAGAGGAACGGGCCACGGCCTCTGCCCTCTGGACGCTGAGGCAGCACATGATTCTGGGGCTTGCTGTGGGCCTGACACTTGGTGCCGGCACATTGCTCTGAAGCAGCAGGTGAGGTCACATTGTGAACAAGGCCCAGCTATATGTCCCAGAACCAGTCCTTGCTGGGGATGCCCTCGCCCACCCACACACTGTCCCAGATGCTTTCCCCTCCTCCCACAGGCTCCAGCAGCTGGGAAGCCTGCAACACCATGGTGGCCCAGACCATCCCTGCAGGTGGCCCACCTGCCCTCTTGCTGTCTGCACCCCCAGCCCTGAGGGTGTTTGATCTCTGGCAACCTTTCCATTGCTGTGGAGACCCTTCCCGTGGTGGAGGGAAGGCACATCAGCAGAATCAGATGTTGGGATTTCTAGGTTTCACTTTATCATGAGAGACACCATTTTCCATGAAAATTAAATCCAATGTTTCATTAGAGTAGGCTTATTCAAGAAAACTTGTGGAGCAGAGAATGGCCAGACAACATTCTAACGTACAGAAATCCAGAAATCGTCCTCTCCCTGGCCCATCCTTCTGGCTCAAACGGGGCTTGGGTGGGATTAAACGTGAGCTGGAAGGGCCTGGTGGACTTCATCCCTGGACGCTGGCTGCCACCCAGCATCTTGGCAGAGTATGCCGGGGGCACAGGGGAGACAGGAAGTAGAAAGAACACAGAGATGATGACTCTTCCAGAGACTTTCTCAGCTAGAAAAGGGGAGAAGTGAGAGAAAGGGAGAAGCAGGAGCTGTGGGGTTGAGGAGTAGTGGACTTGTGAAAGCCTTTTTGTCTACAACATGCCACAAAACACCCCATCAAAGCTCCCCCAGGAAGGGCCCAAAACTGGGCTGGCACCCTCCTTTCAGGGGTCTGGATATGAAAAAGGTGAGTTCATTTCTGTTCAAAGAAATTTAATATTGACAAATGGCCCTGTTTCTACCAAGCTAAAGTATGGGCCCCCCCATGGAACTAAGTGGAGGCCTCATGAAATGCGTGGCACCCCTGGTATTGACATTGGCTCAGCACCCGCTGCCTCCACATTTGAAAATTCAGTCCCTGTAAAAAGTTTAAAGGGACGGGGAGCGGGTGGGCAGAGAGGAAAAGCAGGCCGGCTCCCCCACTGTGGCCTAGAGTCCGAGACCATTGGAAAAAGTCTGGATGAAGAATGATTTTGGAGCTTGGCTCGGCGCGAGTTTCGCAGCAGCCAGTGGAAACTTCCAGGAATGCTGCTCTGGGCCAGCCAGGGGCTGTTTCCGCCACCACTGTTACGAGGTACAGACCCCTCGACGGCTTCTGACCAGCACAGGGGAGTGTGACTCTTTTTCAGCTCAGCTCTGCCTCGCAGGGTGCAGCACACCTTTTCAGAGCTCTTGCAGCCCAGACCAGCTCAGTTAGAAAGGGCTGGCCGCCAGGAGGAGCAGCCTCCGTGAGCGGCTGACGTCCGTGCGGGATGCTGTGAGAATTTATATCAGCCTTAGAGGGGAAACTCCCTCCCAGAATGTTTCAATGTTTTATTAAATGTATGAAAGGAAAGTTTCCTTTTCACTGGACCAAGGCCCATAGCCTCCATGGAGCCTCAGGGAAGGTGGTAAAACCTCTTGGGAAAGCCCACAGACAAATGGGTAAAATTAGTAGAAAGTATTGTTTCTTAATCTGAGCCCTTTCTGCTGGCTGTAGGCACAGGAGCCGAGCCTGCCTCGCTCGCAGCGGACTCACACAGTGCCCGTGCGGGCCTGACACGCACAGGCATTCGCCCAGCTCTTGATGGGGTGAATGTGAGCTCAGCCATAATGGCCAGCATGGGTCAGGCTGGGCGAGGGCTGGGGTTGGCTGTGTGACTGGTGGGCAGGCCCGGGGCGGGAGTCCTTGAGGGCAGTGGGCCAGCTGCTCCCTGGGGAGCACACTGGTTCCCAGATAGCAGCTGCCCCAAAGCCAGAGGACGTGGGCAGGGTTTTTGCAGCCACATCTGAAGACTGGCCCTGGCCCGTGAGGCGCGTGCAGCCCTAGCAGCTGGGGGCATGGGCAGGCTGGACAGCTAGGTCCGCGGGCCAGCCGTCATGCTGGGTGTGCAGGAGAGGCCACGATGACAAGCATTGCCAACATGGATCAAGCTAAGAAGTGCTGAGCACCATCCTGAGTCAACCCGTAGTCTCCAGGACTCCTGTGAGCTTGGCGTTATCCTGCCATTGCAGAGGGAAAAAGGGGCTCAGAGGCAGAGTTAGGGCCAAATTCCCAGATGACATACTCCTCCAGTGGTCCTCACCGGACTTGTACAGGCAGAGGCCCTCCTAGGCTCAGGGTCACTCAGTGGCTCGCCTCCCGGTCTGGGAAGTCCCTTCAGGTGTAGAGGTGAAGGGCCTGAGGCATAGGCAGGACCCTGGTGGGGTGTCGTTTTCTTACCTTTGGAATGGAGATGGGTGATGGTCTCCAGTTGGTTATGGACAGAAGCCTGGCCCAGATGAGGAAGTGGTTCTGTTCCAGACCCCAATCTAAGTGCCAGACCACCAGGGCCAGGGATTCTGACCCAGGTCTGTGGGACCTGCTGCCGGCCTTCCCTCACTGTGCCCTCCCGCTGCCTGCAAACGTCAGAGAACAGCCATCCAGAACCAGGAGGAGACACGAAGGCAAGAGTGGACCCAGCCGCCGCCAGAGCCAGGGACCAGACAGGACAGCAGGCCAAGCAGCTGAGCAGGACTGGCTGAGGGGATCCCTAGGGCAACTCTGAAGCCTGTCCACCATTTCTTTTGCAGACAGTCTCCATCCTGGAGCAGCGGTTGACACTGACGGAGGACAAGCTGAAGCAGTGTCTGGAGAACCAGCAGCTAATCATGCAGAGAACAACACCATGATCAGGGGAGCAAGAATCAAGAGCTCAGTCGATTTTGGGGGAGGGGGTGGCAGGCTGGGGATTGGTACTATGCGGCTTGGGTAAATAAATGAAGGGGATTCCGCTCTATGGGCATCACATCCATCCCTGAGACCCAGAGATGATGCCCCTGTCTCTGTCCTCTGCCTGCTCTCTGCACCTGGAGGCTCTCCACCTGGTGGTGGGAGCCCCCCATGGGCAGGGCCCACACGTGCAGAATGGACTGTGTTTGATTCAATGTGAAGGAGTCACTCAGAAATGTTTGCTACCTCAGAGTCCCAGTGAGCCCTAAGATCACAGCTTCCCCCGCCTCGGGAAGAGCCCATTCCTGGGCTTTGTCCACCTTTCTGTCATATGACTGGCTCTTCCCACCCATAGCAATGGACTACATTGGATGGATGAGCCAGGAGTTTTCCCAAAATCTGACAAAAGGCCCAGTGAGGGCCCATCGGAGGTTTATCCAGAAACAAGCACTTGCGGGGAGGTGGGAGCTTTGCAGTGGCCTTGATTTCTGCCTCACACATGTTCACTGGGGCCTGGTGGCTTCCTCCTCTGTATGCATGAGGGTGAAGGAATCTGAAATTAAAGTGGACTTTATTGAGCTTCTAAAAAAAGTGGCTTGTTCAGAGTGAGACCTTACCAGTGCCCTCATCCCCAGGGCCCATAAAGGGAGAATGAAAGTGGTGACTTCAGAGAGCCCCCGCCAGGTCACCTCAGGGTATTGGGGGAGCAAGGACAGCCAGAGTCTCGACACAACACCCACCACCCCCTGGCTGCCCCCCAAGCTGGCTTCCTCGATTGGATCCTGGAGGACTCAGGCACCTGCATTTCCACTTACTCCTGAGGGTTCCCATAGGCGCCTTCCTCTGCATCCCTGCAGGGAGAGCCAGGCAGTGTTTGCCATATGTCTTGGTGCTGTCCATGCTTTCAGCATTTGGCTTCTTGGGGCCCAGCCAGCCAGAGAGGTATTTATCCTTCAGTATACCTGCCTTGCCCTGAGAGCCCTGGGGGGCAGTGTTAGATCTCGGGAGCTGTCAGTACTGTGCAGCTAATGAGGTTCCCGGACTCTGTGGCTTCCGAGTGGGAGCAGAGCCTGAATGCCAGGAGCTTGGGCTGCCGAGGAGGCATCCTTTATGGAGCTCTGATACACGACGACGAGAATGGGGAAGCTGCCTCCTCCAGCTGTGTGGAGAGAGCCGCAGTCCCAGGTCAGGCTACAGATTCTGCCTTTAGCCAGCTGTGTAACCTCCACATGGTGACATAACCTCTCTGAGCCTCAGGTTCTTGTGTTGTGTGGTAGTGGTAACCACCCCTCCAGGGGCCTGTGAGGGAGGCACGCTCCCCATGAGCTGGGAGTGGCAAAGTGGGGAAGAGGCTGCTGGCTCAGGCCCTTCTAGAGGTTCCCAGGGACCTGCTGAGGCTTCCCACGTGGCCCTGCATGTGTAGAAGAGTTGGGCGGGTCTGCTGGTCAGAACTGGCAGGTGAGGTGCTCAGTTGCCTCTTTACGGGCTTCCCTTCTATAAAGGCCTTCAGGGCCTCGGCACCGCTAAGTGAGCCTGCTGAGAGGATGCAGCTTGTGGGACCAGCGCTGTCATCCCCTCCCATGCTGGCTGGCCTGCGGTAGCTTCCAGTCATGAAGCTGGAGGTCCCAGTGCTGGGGCTCCAGTGATTTGAGCAGCCATCCCAGGGTGAGGTCATCTCGAGAGACACAGATGGTACCCCCTCATTGGGGACAGCAGGACGGGAGCCAGGTCTCCAGGCACTGTCTGGCAGCTCTTGCCCTCGGGCCAGGCCTAGGCTGCCATCTCCCTGCCTTCAGTTTACCCCAGGATTGCGTTTTCTCTGTGAAGAAAATGTAGATGGAGAGCCTGCTAGGGATTTGGGAAATGGCCTGGGGGTGATGGTGTAGCATTTGACCCTGGGAGCCTCGCCCTAGTTTATCAGCCCCCCTCACCACACCCCTTGTAGGCCGGTGTCTGCGTGTTCTGAGGCAGGCCCGCCTGGGCTGTCTCACACGGAGGCAGCCACGGGCTGGCTGAGAGGACTCCGCTGGAGTAGCCCATGCAGGGTCTCCTGAGGGGTTTCCCACACAGTCACACAGCTGCCTTGATGGAACCACCAGCCAGACCCAGAACTGGGGGGAAGAAGGTTCTCGGAGGGCTGCATTTGTCTTTGAAACACCACAGAGAACCCACCTCCTCCAAGGCTCAGGGTCAGTGTGTCACACACACAAGGGAGAGCAATGAAAGGGCTAATTTCTTCCCCAAAGAGTTCCTTTTTGAAATTGCTCATGTGGGGCCTGACTTGGGACCTCACTGCTCTGAGTGAGGATCTAGGGGCCCAGATTGTTCCTGAGGAAGAGGGGACAGGAGACCCTAGGGTGCCCTGACCCCAGCCCATGAAGGTGCTACAGGACCCTGAGCTGGGCAAGACCGACACTAGGCTGTTTGGCTGTGGGGAGTCTCACGAGCAGGGGAGGAGTGTGAGGCCTAGGTGGGCTTGAGGGGGCTTGGCAAGGTTGGGGGCCACATGACAGGGCCTTTCTTGTGGTGGTGTCTCCTGCCAGCCCTTGCCGCTGGCCCCTCTGTCATAGGGGCTCTTACCAGCCCCCAGGCCCCAAACTGGTGCTGCTAAGCTCAACAGCAGCCTTCTGAAAATGCAAATGGCTCTGCTCAGCCACTGTATTTTCTGGTTGTGGATTTTGATAACAGCTCCCAAAAATCCAAATCGCAGCCATCTCCCTCCCCACCCCTCCCTCTCTCTGTCTGTGCTAGGAAGGTGAGATTATGTTAGGGGGGTTTTTGTTAGGAAGTATATCCTAGCGGCAGTTCCCACCGCCCCCTTCTCTCATGCCCTAATTTTCCGAATGTGAAATAAAAGAACAGGTGTCGGTGATTGGTGATTTAAATTGTGATCCCCCCACCTACCCTTTGCCAGATTCTTGGGGTTCCAGGATGAACCTGTACTTCTGCCAGAGAGACTGAAGGAGGCAGCTCAGGCGGGCTGGACCACCAAGCCAGAAAGCAGCAACTGCGTCCTGTCCTGGCCCATGGCAAGCCTGCTGCCCTTTCTCCCGAGTCTCCACTCCCCACGAGCCTCTGACCATGGCCTTTCAGAGACTCGGGTGGCACCAGCCAGCCTGCCCTGGAAACTCTGCTGTCCTCCCACCCAGCACCATCCTATCCCTCTGTCCCCGGATCCGCTTGCCACGATCCAGGACTTCTCCGTGGTGGTGGGCTGTGTGCAAGCAGGCTGCCAAGAGGTCAGAGCAGTGGAGTCAGGGGTCGCTGTGGGAGTCGGGATCCCTGGCCCACTGCCCAAGTCCAGATGCCAGATTTGCCACCTGCTAGCTCCGTGGTCTCGAATCAGTTCCCCAAGTTTGTAGACCCTCTGTGAGATTATATACCTGTGTCCTCAGGTACATGAGGTGCTCAGAGCAGTGAATGGCCCAGAGCGAGAGTGTGGTCAGTGTGTGACTCCCTGCCCCCGCCAGCCCAGGGTGACACTTCTGACAGGTCAGGCCCCTTCCCTGGAAGTTGCTCCATGTGTCAATGGGCTGATGGTCCGTCTGGCTCTGGAATTCTAAAATGGCTACACTCACGAACTCCTGATCCTGTGGCCCAGTGGTAAAGAGGGATTTGGGCCAGCAGACAGGGAGACTCAGGGCAGCCCCTCCCCCACCCGAGGAGGCAAGCACTCTAAGGCCACCTCTCTGCTGTCACCAAGGCCGCCACCAGGGCTAGCACAGGCTTGAGGGTGGGCGTTTGTGATTACCCGGAATCCCGGAAACCCAGCCTGCTGAGCGAGCGGGAGCGCGGTGAGTCACACCGGCCCTGTTGTCCTGGCTCCCTGTCATTAACCTCATTTTCCTAAATGATTTGCTCAAGATGGGTCCCTCATGGCTTCCGCCTTAATTGGTGTATGGCCGTTTAAGGGGGCCAGAAATCCACCCGGGCCTTGTCACTGAGCACCCCTGCTCCGCCCCACCCACCCCAGGCTGCTGAAGAAACCACTTTGCCAAGACGGCGGCACGGCGGTGGCAGGCTGTTGGCGGCCTGATGTCCTGGAGTGTCCTTCCACTTCCTGTGAGCACCGCACCCAGACGCGGGGCCTCGTCCCATTGGCTGGTGGGCTCCAGCCCACCCTCGCTGCGAGGCCCTGGCAACCCGGGCTCACTTACTTTCACTTACTCGGCCACGCAAGTCTTTTAGAAGCTTCACTCCTGACTCCCGACCCCTGAGGGCCCAGCGGAGCTCAAGATAAGACTGGAGCCAGGCCAGAGAGCCTGGGGTGAAGCCATTAGGAAGCTTTCTTGCCAGCCCCTCCTCGGCTGGGAGCTGCCATCCACTCTCCCAGAACCTATTTATAGGGCAAGGAGTGCTTTCACTTTAGGTGAGGCCACCTTAGCCCCATCTGCCCGGGAGCACTTCTTGCTGCAGGAATGCCACCCCCACCTAATGTCCTACCACTGATGAGAAATCTGAGTGCCGGGACAAGGAACCTGGGCAGGAGAGGAAGTCGGGTTCTGCCAGAGCTTCCCTTTCTCGGCCTCAAGCTTCTCCTTCGGGCCCAAGCGGGTGCCCAGCAGGAGCCAGAGCCCGTGCTGGCAGGGTTGTCCTGCTGCGTCCTGACATGCCCCAGCCTGTCTCCATCCTCCTCCCACTGGGTGCTCAGTGACAAGGCCTGGGTGGATTTCTGGCCCCGTTAAACTCAGCCTTGGAATCAAGACTCTCTTGGAGCCAAGGACGTCCCTCAGCATCGGGGCCCATGTCTTGCCAGTCTTTGTCGCTCTCTTGGTCTCAGGCCTGGCCAAGGGCACACGCACCCCATAGATGCTCTACTCAACTGGCCTCTTCCAGACCTTTGCCTTCCCCCTGCCCTCCCCTGGCAGGTCTCTAGAACCATCTAGTTCTCCCAGAAGAACTGTGATGCCCCATCCGACCTCTGCGCTGAGCCCCATAAATCCTGACCCCAGCCAGAGCCACCCCAAAGACATGCCCTCCTGTCCAAGGTTGGGATGGAGATGCTGGCTGTGCTCCTCACTCCCAGCTCAACCCCTAGAATCTTTCTCCCGTGACAACTGCTCCTGG